GAAAATAAAGTCTGAGCCGTTAGCGTGTCATTTCTCTACCACCTTCTCCTGTCACATCACATGGCACTCCACACACATTGTGGTCAGGGCTCCAAGACCACCCTGAGGTTCAGCGATTCGCTAGCAGGACTCACAGAACTCAGCAAAGCTCTTAGAGTCATGGTCACAGTGAGAGGATAGAGATTAAAATCCACAAAGGGAAAACCTGCACAGGGCAGAGTCCAGAGAGACCAGGCGAGAGCCTCAGTGTCTCTCCCAGCAGTGCTGTGTGACAGCACGCGTGGAGGACTGTCCCCCAGGGAGGCTCACCTGAGCCGTGGCATCCGGGTTTCTGTTGGGGGTGGTCATGTACCGTGGAGTGCCTGTGGGACTGCCCTCTGTACTCAGGCTTCAGCCCCTCCAGCCGTCAAGCTGATACCGCATGGCCCAAGGCCTGCCTGACACGCTTGATCAGGCAGGATCCTCCAACGGCTTGGAGGGTGTCTCGCAGGAGCCAGGCAAGGGCCAGGCCTTTCTTTGGAATGTGCATGGTTTGGACAACTCAGGCCCTTGCACGCACATACACACACTCTCCCTCCCTCCCTCCAGCCTAATGACTTAGGACCCCGGACACACCTGCTGTTGCAGCCCTCTCTGCCTTCACCCACGACCTTCCTCCCGCCCAGACGGCCCCTCCTCCCCGTCTCCTGGCTGACCCTGGCTGACTCCGCATCCTGTGGCTCAGGCATCTGCTCCCGTGACATGTGACCCAGCCCTGTCCCTGCCTGGAGCCCTGGTACTGAAGCTGACATTTGCCATGTCTCTGGCTGCCTCAAGGACGGGGGCTGTAGCTTAGGGAACCTCTCTGGGCCTCACCCTCCTCGTTTGTCTAATGGACCTGCTTTCAGGAGTAAATGAGCAATAATACATGTAAAGGGCACAGCCCAGGGCTGGACCAATATGTGTTCACCACTATTAGATCCCTGGCACCTGTGGAACTGGAAACAGATGAGGCATTTTGTGACTCATGAACCGTTAAACCAGACAAACCCCCACAGAAGATTCTTTTTCTTGTTGTTTTTTAATAGTTACAAAGAGTTTTTTATAAATATTCTCCTGGAAATATTTAACTGCAGCTTATTAATAACAAAAGCTCTCTTTTGAGAGAGAGAGCCCTCTCTTTGGGGCTGAGGTCTTGAGAACCGAGTAGGTGTAGCCGTTGGGATGCTTTTAGCCGCTGGTAACAGCAAACCCGACCCGAGGCGGCTCCGCAGTGAGGGATGTTCTCTCACACAGGAAGGGGTCTGGCGGATCATCTGCCCAGAAGCGTGTGGCTATGTGGAGGAGGAGACCGAACAAAAAGAGGGGCCTGCCAGGAAGGCCCAGGGTGCAGTAGGGGTTGGGAAGGGGCAGCTACAGTAGGTTCCCTCTGACTCACGCTAGGAGAGGATTCCCTGAGGACACTTCGAGAAATAAAACTAGGCCTGAAGAGGGATAGGGAAGAGGAAACAGGACTCGTGGGTGCCTTCTCTGGGCCAGGCACTTGGCTGCTCAGTCATGACCTTGTTTATCCTTTACAGTGGAAGGGGATTGTCCTCCTTGTTACAGATGAGGAAACTGAGGCATGGAGAGGCTCAGGAGTAACTTGCCCAGGGACCCACAGCTAGGAAGTGGCAGAAGCAGAATTCAAACTCAGATTGTTTCCTTGTGTCTGGAGACCAACCTCGTGCCTGAAAACAGGGAGCTGGCTTGCAGCTGAACTTGTAGAAGGGAAGGGAAGACCCTGAGGGGGTTGGATGGAAGCTGGGGTACAGAATAGTGGCCATGCCCTAAAGCAGGGCTGCTGCCCTGTGACCAGATGGACCCATTAGGTGAAGTAGAAATAAAGGGAGTTTGCAGTCCGGAAACTGGAGTCCAGGGCCTGCCGTGGGATGAGAACTGACAGGTTGCTTCCATCTGAGCCTCTTCTGCCTTCTGGGCGCCAGGGCCGTCATCCTGACCTCCCCGGGAGGGCGGCTGTGAGGTGAGCCGAGGCTCTGGCTGAGGAGAGAGTGTGGCACCGTGCTGGGCACACAGGGCCGTCAGGGCTGGGCGAGCTGCCAGGACATCACCCTGGCCTCTCCGGTGGCATCGGCCCTTCTCGTCCTGCGGCCTGAGGACCCGCTGAGCAGTGGCAGCCAACCGTGAATTCATAGTAAACTTGAGTCAGCCACAACCCCGGCCCTTTTTCATGAGAACTTCACAGCTGGGTGTTCACAGCCCCGCCCGGGCTCCTGTCTCTTTTTTCCTCACCGGCTTCCAGAGGCTGTCCCCAAAGTGAAGTTGTAAACAGGCCCGCGCTGGCGGCGGCGATGGTGAGCACCCTGGCCAGTGCCCTCGCTGCGTCGCCTGTGCTTCAGCGCTGTCCTGACGAGGGAACCGAGCCTCAGACGGGTTTGCTGGCCCTTGTTTGATACTAGAGCGCTAGGGAGACACGGGTCACGCCTCACCTCTGTCACTTTCTCTTTCCCAACTGCATTCGCTTCCCATGGCTCCTCTCACAAATTATCATAAACTTAGTGGCTGCAAACAATGAAAATTGATTCTTACAGTTTAGGAGATCAGAAGTCCGAAATCAGTCCCACTGAGCTAAAATCAATAAAATCAAGATGTCAGCGGGGCTGGTTCCTTGTGGACTCTCCAGGGGACAACCTGTTTCCTTGCCTTTTCCAGTTTCTGGAGGCTACCAGCATTCCTTGGCTCATGGCTGCATCCTCTAGCTGCAGGTTCAGAGTGCATCCCTCCAATCTCTGCTTCCATCGTCACGTGGTCTCCTCTCTAGTCAAATCTCCTTCTGCCTCCATTTTATAAGGACACTCCTGGTGACATTTAGGGCCCACCATTTAACCCAGGATAATCTCCCCATCTCAAAATCCTTAATTTAATCACATCTGAAAATTCCTTTGCCACATATGGTGACATACTCCCAGGTTCCAGGCATTAAGATGTGGGCATCTTTGGGGGGGCCACGTCTTTGGTGTGGCCTCCCGCACCAGCTCCACTGGAAATCATTTAGGGCTCCCACCACCAGCAAGAAAAGACTGCGCTCTTCAGACACCACTCCAGGCCCAGCACGACGGCATTTCCACATGCTGCTCTCCCACTGCCTTCAGCTCAGCCTGGGGTCCCCACCCCCCAAATCACCCTTAAGGCAAAACAAGGTCTGATTGAGAGCCCGCCCAGGGGTGGCTTGTTTAACTCAATAACTCCGTCTGTCCCACTCACGTTGTGGTTTTAAAACCTGGCTGTGTTAAGTTCACTGGTTCTCAGATTGAATTCACACCTCACAATTTGGGTCTCTTTCAAAAAACCAAGCTTATCGTTAAACGTTTCTGTGCTACACAAACAGAACAAACATTTGGAAACTACTGCAGATTAGAAAGGAGACAGTCCCCTTGTAGTCCCACCTCCCACAGACAGCCCCTGTCCACATACTGGTGTGTTTCCCTCCAGGCCTCCTCCTTCAGAGTTCTGTTTTTCCACAGTGAGATCACACTGCTCTAGTCAATTTGCATTTTGCTTCGGTCCCTTTCTTGTCATTTCCTGCATTTCTTGTGTATTGTTAGAGGCCATATCAGTGGGCATAATGCCTGTCTTTCCTTACATCTGATACCTAATTGACCCCCTGATTGGGTGCAGGAAAGTGCCCTGTCATCCGGTGCCCATGCTGGGCAAGGGTGTTCGTGCATCGGGCCAGTGCCCTGGGGGCAGCTTCTGGCTCCACACCGTGCTAGCTGGGAGGCCCTGGGTAAATGACCAAAGCCCTCTGAGCCCCAGTTTCCTCATCTCAGACACAGGGACAGAATTCCTGCCTCGGTCAGTATTGCGAGTTAGTGTCCGTGAGCAGACTGCATTTCTCCCACAGTCAATGCTCAGTGTATGACCGTTTACCTAAAAACGTCTCTGTCCAGCGTACCGCTGACCCTTTCCTCACCAAGGAACCTCTGACTCTCCAGCTAACAGATGGCTGTGCTCGGAGCTTTTTCAGTTAGAAATTACAGAAATCCAGTCAGCTCAAACTGAGCAGGGACATGCTGGCTCATGGAGCTTCTGAAGAAGATGGGGTTGGGGCCGTGAGCATGACTGAGTCCTTCTGGGTGTTCTCTCCCTCTCTCCGTCCGTGGCTCACTGTCTCCCGCTGCAGGTGGCTGAGGAGATGGGAGGGGCTGCCCCAGGTGCACATTCTCCGTGCCCTGCACCTGCAGGTGAAGGGGGCCGCCGCCTCTCGAGTGCCTGGAGAGAAATCCCGGGGGCAGTCTCTGGTTGGCCACCTCAGGTCTCAGGGTCTCCTAGAACCAGTCACTGAGGCCAGGGCGCAGGGCGCTCTGATTGAGCACTTAGGTCTCGTGCCCACGCCTGAGTTAGAAGAAGGGGAGGGGCCGGGACGACGGGACGCTACAAAATGCCCTCCGTCCTTCTAAGTGGGTGGGTGTGCACGGATGGGGCCTTTGGTACCCAAGGCCCTGCCGTACTGCTTAGCTTTCTGGGGCCATCTCTGTGAGGTCCAGAAGGGCGCTCAGGGCGGCACTCGGCCGATCAGTCCACCCCCAGCCCCCCACTTACAGTCAGCAGGGAGACCTGGGCAGCAGGTACTGACAGTGTTATTCTGTGTCCTCGTCCCGCTCACCGGAGGTGCCTCAGATCTGACCTCGGGCTGAGGTCGGTGCAGGTGCCTGCTCTTCGGCCTTCTCCTGCATGGCCCTGGGGGCTCCCACTTGTGCTGTACGTCACCATGCATGTCCTAGGCACATCTAGCTCCTAGTGCCTGAATCCCCCGGGCATGGGCTTTTGCTTCCAGATCCTTCTTTCCTAGTTTAGCAGGGCCTGGTTAGGTTACACAGCAGGAAGAGGAAGGGTGGCCGCATATTACAGTTACCCAGGCCTGCCACCCTCCAAACCGTGCTCCATCATGCTACTGAGGTTGCCTTGCCAAAACTGCCATCTGATCATGTCGCTTCCTCTGCTTTACGAATCTTTCCAAGGTTGCAGACGTCAACGGATTTGCTTTGGAAGCCGGAGTAGCTGCTGCCACCAGAGTCTGGAGCCATGAGTGGGTTTAATTTTGGAGGCACTGGGGCCTCTACAGGCGGGTTCACATTTGGCGCTGCAAAGACAGCAACAACCACACCTGCCACCGGCTTCTCTTTCTCCACGTCTGGCGGGTTTAATTTCGGGACTCCCTCCCAGCCAGCTGCGAGTACCCCTTCTACCAGCCTCTTCTCACTCACTACCCAAGCTCCGGTGACACAGACCACAGGATTCAGTTTTGGAACCACCACCCCTGCTGTAGGAGGAACTGGATTCTCCTTAGGGATCAACACTCCGAAGCTCAACTTGAGCAGCGCAGCTGCCACCCCGGCCACGGCGCACCCCAGCGGCTTTGGGCTCAGCAGCAGCACCCTGACCAACGCCATCTCGAGTGCCGTCACCTCCAGCCAGGGCGCGGCGCCCACCGGCTTTGTGTTCAGCTCCACCACCACCTCTGCCGCTCCGTCCTCCACCCCCGGGGGCTTCACCTTCACGAGTGGAAGCACGTCCCAGACCGGGACCTCCGGGTTTAGTCTTGGCTCCATGGGGAGTTTGGCCCATCCCACAGCACTTGCCGGGCTGCCCTTCACTCCGGCCACTCAGGCAGCCACTGGAGCGGGGGCCACACAGCCAGCCGCTCCCGCACCCACCGTGACCACCACCAGTGCTGGGCCCACGCTCTTTGCCTCGCTGGCAACTGCTCCAACTTCGTCCGCCACCACCGGACTCTCCCTTGGTGCCCCAGCAACCACGGCGGGAACTCCCGGGGCTGGAATGCTGGGCTTCAGCTTAAAGGCCCCTGGAGCAGCTTCTGCCACCTCCACAGCCACGGCCACCACCGCCACCACCACCACCAGCAGCTTCGCCTTGAATCTAAAACCACTGGCGCCAGCCGGGCTCCCCAGCAACACGCCAGCCGCCGTGACCGCCCCGCCTGGCCCCAGTGCCACCGCTGCGGTGTCTGCCAGTCCTGTGATGACCTACGCCCAGCTGGAGAGTCTGATCAACAAGTGGAGCCTGGAGCTGGAGGACCAGGAGCGGCACTTCCTGCAGCAGGCCACGCAGGTCAACGCCTGGGACCGCACGCTGATCGAGAACGGGGAGAAGATCACCGCCCTCCACCGCGAGGTGGAGAAGGTGAAGCTGGACCAGAAGAGGCTGGACCAGGAGCTCGACTTCATCCTGTCTCAGCAGAAGGAGCTGGAGGACCTGCTGAGCCCGCTGGAGGAGTCGGTCAAGGAGCAGAGCGGGACCGTCTACCTGCAGCACGCCGACGAGGAGCGCGAGAAAACCTACAAGCTGGCGGAGAACATCGACGCGCAGCTGAAGCGCATGGCCCAGGACCTCAAGGACATCATCGAGCACCTGAACACGTCCGGGGGCCCCGCCGACACCAGCGACCCGCTGCAGCAGATCTGCAAGATCCTCAACGCGCACATGGACTCGCTGCAGTGGATCGACCAGAACTCGGCCCTGCTGCAGAGGAAGGTGGAGGAGGTGACCCGGGTGTGCGAGGGGCGGCGCAAGGAGCAGGAGCGCAGCTTCCGGATCACCTTCGACTGAGCCGGCGGCCGTCTGCGGGCCCGGGGGTCCCAGGGTGTCCCCCGGGGGAGGTGCAGTTATTGTCTGGTTTTTGGTTGCAATGAAATACTTGTTTGTTTCTTTCGTTCAAACAATTGTGCTGTTGAGAGAACCGTTCTGTGGTTTGACTTTTTGTATTAGCAAATAGAAAGTATTCGAAGCGCTCGCGTCCAGGCAGCCGCCTAGTAGGTGTGGTTTCTATGTGTATCTTTTGTGTCTCCTGGACTCTTTTTCACCTGTTACAACCACCCACCTCATCTTTCTTGCTCCAGCCTCGTGCTGGAGAAGTGCCGATTCACCTGAGAAGGAACCATCTGTCTCCCAGCCAGGGTTAGCTAGGCACCACTCTGTCCAGCACGTAGTCATAGGTGTAATGAGGAAAGACTGAGGTTAAAAGACTCTGTGTACATGTGGAAGTTAACCACCAGTACAAAGAAGTGACGTGAATAGAACAGATAGTGGGATGTAGAATTTCAAAGGAGGAAAGACAGGTCAGGTGAGGGACTTGAAGAAGCTGTTGAGAAAAGGGTCAGACTCTAGCCAGGAGGCCTTTGCTTTGCCTGGCTGACACACCTCCTTGGCCTCCGGGTCTCCTTATCTTAGGTCTCACCTCTTCCGGGAAGCCCTCTCGACTGGACGAGGTGGCCGTCCTGGGGCCCCACACTACACTGAGCTCGCGCCTTTGGTAATGCTCGCCGTGCTGTATTGTGCCAACTGTTTGCCTGTCTGCCTCACCGTTAGATTGTGAGCCCCTGTGGGCAGGGACTGTTTCTTGTTTCCTTTTGTGTCCTCAGCACAATCCTTGTCACATTTATTGTATGAATGAACAATGGAGATGAAACTCAGCATAAAACGTTAATCCACAAAATGCCTGCTGAATTGGCCACAGGTGGCAGAAGCGGCCACAGGCTTGGTTCTGAACTTGCCAATGCCAAACCACACCTAGTCAGTTACAGTGAGATCCACTGTGTCCAGGAGGCAGGAGCCAACCAGTTACATCCCAAGAGTCTTTTGTATTTGTCTCTACACTTTGCTACACTCTCTGAAATACCTATGATTGTATGTTGCTTTCCTAAATAAAATTTATTGCAGAACCAAAAACCTGCTGTTAATGTGGATAACTTTGAAGGAGAAGGTTGGGTAAAAAGAGCAGGTTCCAGAACACTATGTCAAGTGGGATGCCGTTTCTGGAACTCAGAAACGAGCAAAACTAAACACATTGTTTAGGCACGCATACATACGTGCACACACAGATTCAAGGTGTGGCTTCCTCTGGTGCTGATGGCAGAAGAGGAACGTGTGGGGGAACCTGTTGCAAGTGGTGGTCTGGGTTATATCTTAGAGTACACATAAATGTCATCTGTCACCGTCCCTAAGGCGGCAGCTCAGTGGCCACAGGTGTCATCAGCGGCATTCCTCTCACTGTTACTGGGACTAGCTGGAGGGCTCTGATTGTGCTTCCACAGTGGAAAACAGGTATAGCTGGGGTGCGGATTGGTATCCGGTGATTTCCAGATACGGGCCTGAAGTTTTGCCTTTGTCCCCAGCTCCCGGAGGCGCGAATGACACCACGCACTTTATCTTGCTGCTTCTGCAGGGTGGGGAGTCTGCCCCTTCAGCCTCCCTCCGCCTATGTCATGCTAAGCTGGGCCCCGTGTTTTGGCTATCGGGTGCCCAAGGCTTGTTCCTGGAGATTTATGGTCCAGTTTCTCAGAGCCTTCCCACAGTCATGACCATGAGCCGTTATTTCCTTGGACCATCTTGGGCTTTGAAGGACAAATGTCCTGTCCAAACAGAACCATGGGAGAAGGAGGGGAATGAACTAGAGGAGGGAGACCCAGCAACCCCAGTTGCTTCTCTGAAAGCTTCACCCCCTATGACAGTGGCTGTTTTGTGGCAATCTGTGGACCTTCACCCATGACCCATATGTGACCCCTCCACCTGAAGAGATGGGGTGGCCTCGAGTCCCCCTAGAAAGTAGGGAGTAGTTTGTATTTCACCTACATTTATTCATTCCGCATCCTTTTTTGAGGACCTGCTACATACCAGATTCTGATCTGGCATTGGAGTTATGAAAGTGCAATGTTTCTCTGCCGACAAGGAGGTCGCTGGCAGGAGCCACACAATCATGATAAGAAAAATGTCTTTTGAGCACACTGTTCTAATGTATATAATACACCAATTATTTTGCATATTGAAAATTAGTAAAGTTTAATTGCTTTCTTAAAGTTGTATTTTTCAAAATAAAAACAAATTGAAGTTCTAATATTTTTTTGCCCACACCCTAAGGGACCTTGGGCTCTCCACTTTGAAAATTACAGTCATGGGCCGCATAACGATGTTTTGATCAATGACAGGCCACGTATACGACAGTGGTCCCCAAAGATTAGCACCATAGAGTCTAGGTGTGTAGTGGGCTATACTATCTAGGTTTAAATACACTCTGTGATGTTCGCACAATGACGAAATCACCCAACGACACATTTCTCAGAATACGTATCCCCATCAAGTGGCACACGACTAGAATAAATCAGGGTGATGGCCACGTGGGAGGGATGGCTGGTGCTCTGGTGCCATGGGAGAAATGGACCAAACAGGCTTCCTGGGGAAGGCCAGGAGGGGTCCCCAGGATTGCAACAGGACCATGGATGATGACTTCATTATAATTACAGTTTCCCTTTCCAGGAAGAAAACAGACAGATGTGCTTCCTTGCCAGTCCAGACAAATGGCCTCTGCTTAAGTTCCTCCTCATTAACTAATATGAAGACAACAAATGTGGTGACTAGATTTGGGATCAGAGGCTTTTAAAGGTGAATGTCTCTTCACTAAGCTGTTATTGCGTTTCTTCTCCCTGTTTAGGGATAAGAGTGGCCTTTGGATTTATGGTGATGGCTTTCTTTTAATCTCAAAGAAACCCTCAAATGACTGCCTCCCTCATAGCCCAGCCCCTTCCCCAGGATGATGCCCCCACCTCAAACACCAGCTTGGTGTCCAAAGAATCAGATGTTTGAAACATGTCCAGAGCACGAGAGCAGCCTTGATCTCCTGTGGAAGGTTGAAACAAATGAGTCCCAAGCAGTGGTGTGCTGGTGAATGTTTCCAATTCGGCTCTCCAAGGTGGGGGAAAGCCTTGATTGGCAGCATATAGCCATGTCCGTGGTGTAAATGCTCCCACCATGGCTGATTCCAGGCCACCAATGTGAAGTCACCGAACATGAATTTGGGAAACTGACACACACTATGTAGATGTAATTAATTCACCTCAAGAGTGTATATATAATAATATATAGAGAGAGTATATATATAACAGTAAAGTGTAATCAAATAATTAGGAAGTGATGAGTTTTGAATATTTACTATCTTTGTTTTTAATAAAATTAATTGTAAATATGATTTTTTAATAATGTCTTACAAAGCAAAACCAGAAAAGGATCCTGGACATGAAACAGCGGGCTCTCGTGAACTGGTATGGGCCAGCTTCAGCAAACCACTGCTCCCGGGTGTTCAGTCAACTTTGACATTGTCTGGGTGCTTTCAAAGTCTGCGCTCAGACCCTCAGGGCAGTGGCTCTCCCTGGAACATCCCCAGAACGAAATCCCTCACTTCCAGAAGCCAGGTCTGCTTCTGGGCACCAGTCAGCCCGCAACCGGGCTTAACTGTCCCTAGATGCCCCTGTGCCTGTCCCACGGCTCTGGCACACCGTGGCACTGATCACTTCAAACACTAGTGATTCTCCTAGAAACCACACACACCTCACCTCCAGACACCATCCTGGTTCAACCCCATAACCTCCAAAGATTTCCCCGAGGCAGAAACCGCACGTGGTGTGCTGCTCTGCGAGGTTCAGGCCTAGCCTGGTACCATGGAGTCCCGTGAGATCCCCTGGTTCTTAGGACACAGACCCCAAATGCACCGAACCAAAAGTGACACCGATTGACAAAGACACTCAGTATCACGCAAATGCAACGTGGGCTCTCATTTGAATCTTGATTCAAACAAACCAGCTGTTAAAAGAAATTTTTGAGACAATCAGGGAAACGGGGACGTTGACTTAATGCCATTTTTAAATGTGATAATGGTATTGTAGTTTTACTTTTTGAAAAGCAAATAAGTTCTTATCTTTTACAGCAGAGATTGGCAAACTACGGCCCCACTTCCTGTTTTTATAAATAAAGTTTTATTGGAACACAGCCACACCCATTCATTCACATGTTGTGGCTGCTTGGAGGGCAGAGTTGAGGAGGAGATGGAGGCCATGTGGCCCAAAAAGCCTCAATTTTTTCTTTTTTTAGTAGTAACATTGGTTTATAACATAAATTTCAGGTGTACATCCTTATATTTCGACTTCTGTATAGACTGCATCGTGTTCACCACCAAAAGTCTAGTTGTCAGAAGCCTCAGATATTTACAGAAAAAGTTTGCCGACCCCTGTTTTAGAGAAACATCCTGAAGTATTTACCTACAAAATAAATAATATGTCTGGGATTTGCTTTAAAATAATCCAGTAGGGGAGGGAAAAACTTAAATAAGATGGGCTATGAGGTGTTGAATGTACTTGGGTCTGTCATCCTAGTCTCTCTGTTGTGATATATGAAATGTTCCATAATAAAAAGCTTTTGAGAAGGGAGGCCTGCCCTCCACAGCCTCCCAACCGCTCTGACCCCACCCCAGGACCCTGGCACCTCTGGTTTAACAAGGACAAAGCCACCACCGCTCACCCCGGTTCCGCACACGCCCGACGATGACTTCCGTCCCGGGCTAACCGGAAAGGCCATGGGTGCTGAGAGAGCCCCCCAGAGCCAGCCATGCAGTGAGTGCCCCCCATCGGGGCCCAGGGGTTCTGGAAACTGGGGGAGGAGGGGCAGGATGGCTCTGTGGGAAGGGGACCCCTGTCAAGGGTCAGGCCAGAGATCGGGGGCCTCAGGTAAGTCTGTCCTCTGCTCTCTGCACTCCGCCCCCATCCAAGTCTGGACCCTGGACTTCTGGGCCCTGGGTAGGCCCTGCCCCCTCTGAGACTTGGTGAAAGTTTTTAATACCAACCACTCAGGGTCTTGGGACCAACTCACAGAAGAGAATATATGTAAGGTGCTAGCCGTGTCCCTCGCACATCTGCGTGACCACTGTCACTATTAGCTGCCCTGCTATGGGCCACAGAGGCCTCAGGGGCGCTGGGGCCAGGTCTCTGGCTGCTTCCAACATGACCTAAACCCCATTAGAACCATCGCTGTGGTTCTAGAAGCAAAGCAAATAGGGTAGGGTTTTCTCCCTAAAGACAATTCTTATCTGGAAGGATTGACATTGTTTTCTAGAAACTCCATCATAAAACCAGACTATCCCAAAATCAACGGAAGCAAACAGATATTTGATTTGGTGGGAAGCCCCAGGCCTTTCCCCCCATCTGCCCCCGCCCCTGATTCTCACTGCGTGTCCTCCACAAGCTTAGGAAACCTAATCCAAACCCCTCTCCCCTGACTAATTCCACCCTAATCCATACCCTAAATTTAACCCTAACACTCACCTCTCTAGTATTATCAGGAATGACTCTGGAAGGTCCAGTCATTTCTACCAAAGCAATCCCCGAATTACTCATACTCCCCGGACCCCAGAGCTTCTGCTGTGTGGCCTTCCAGCATTTCTCTTCCTGCCAGCTGTACCCAGGTCTCCATCCTGGACACCTCTGGCCGCTCTAGGGAGCTCCACGTGACGTCAGCCTAAGCCTAGCCCAGTGGTTCTCAGCCGGGGCAGTGCTGCCTCCCCTTCCCCTGGGAATGGTGGGCAACGTCTGGAGACGTTGGTGGTTGTCTCACCTTGAGGGGCAAGTGCTACCCGCATCTAGTGGGTAAAGGCCGGTGACGCTGCTCAGCAACGCACAGGACAGCCCCCCCAGATGGCCCCACATGTCAACAATGCGGAGGCCGAGAGACCCCGCCCTGGCCCCCTCCCTAGTCTACACGTCTGAGTCGGTTGCTGGTCACGAAGCCGTTCAGAACACAGGCTGCAGGATCAAACGCAGGTTCTGCCACTTCTTAGCTGGCGACTTAGCTGGGCCTCAGTTTTCTCTCCTGTAAAATGGGGACAGCGAAACCCACCTCATCAGAGTTGTTACCAGAGTAGATGAAGTAGAATGTGTGAGGCATCCGGCATGTGGTACTAAACAGTCCTCCTTGTCACTTCATCAGTAGCAAGGAGACTGGTCAGGCCCTGCCCTGGTGGGATCCCCACTCTCTGAGGCGAGGCCGGCTCCCAACTCTGGCTAGCCTCCGAGAGCCTTGCTCATCTCCCTCCTCCTCCCCTGCTGACCCCGTGGGTCTCTTGGGGGAGGCCCACACTGCACTTCTCTTCCTCGGAGTCCAGGAGACCAGCGTGAGAGAGACCAGGGGGTTGTCTCAGGGTCCCCCGCAGGGCCCCCCCGAGCCGCTCTGGGGACCAGTACTCCTTGCCCAGACACAACCTGGGAGCCGCTGGGCTCTCCCGCCTCCACCCCTCTCTGCTTCC